GAAATGGAAAAAGCTACGTTATTAGGAAACTTCCGCAAATAAACAACGTTCGAACTTTGGTCACAGGTAAGCCATACTCCCTTGGATAGGAAGAATGATAACCTGCCGCTATGGAGGCGAATGTTTTCACCTAAATGTTCCTGACATGGTCTATTTTTCCGCCTTCTCTGAAATGGCAACGTTTACATCAAGATATGGATAAACTTAGACACATACCTGGTTAATGATACCCTTAGTTTCTTTTAACTGACTCTAGTTGATCTTCTTCTGAGGTGCGAAGCACTTTCGCAGGTTTGGATATATCAACAAAGTTGAAGTGGTAAATTGGCCACCGTAAAGATTACAGGTTGCCGACGGTCAACTGAAGCTGAAATGTTTTCAATTCTAGCCCGTTCAATTGACTTCCCTTCCCAAGCTCGTTATGAATTAATTATGTCTTTCAGGTCAGCCATCGTTCACACACTGAATAATAAAACTTAAAATCCCAAATAGTCAGCTGTCCGTCAACTTATCCCACAAGCGAAAAGAAGTAAGTATCGGTTTGCGGAATATGACTCTACAGGACCCGAGCCAAATATTTTTGTCTGTTTGTTTTTTTTTTTTTATCGGTGTACACACCCTCGCTACCACATTTTTTTTTTCCTTTTTTAGGATTAAAGGTTAGAAATATAATTTTTTTTTTGAGACTGATGTTTGGCTTTTTGCGGCTAACGGTGAACCCTGTTAAGCCCTCTCAAATGAGCACATTTCTGTGATGTTGAGATGGAGATACTTGGAACCAAGTGCGGATTTCGCCGTTGTTTCGTATTCTACATTAAGCATCCTCATTCCATCAGTGGCATGTCCAGCGGCTTCTTTGAAGCTAAATGTTATTGAACTAGTTTTAATTGCAACACAAAGTTTGCTTGTGTTATAATATTTTCTTATTGAAATTTTATCATTTTTCCATCAATTGACAGTGTGGTTTTTTGTGTTTACTTTTCAAACTTCTTTATTCATATCCCATCTACAGCTTCGCTTCTGGTTGAATAGTGCGAAATTATTTTGGAAAAGTCGAGCTAGTTTGTGGCATCTGTTTAGTGTTTCGAAGAGAGAAACTCTCGGAAAACAATTAAAGAGATAATGGCGAATAAATGCTTTTTACTGGAAAACAGACGCTAGGCTGATTAAATATGCAAATTAAGCAAGGGCGGTCGGAATTGAGACTATAGAGAAGTTGGGTGTACAGAGGCGATGACACGTGGAGCCTGATGTAGATAACTTTGTGGTCCAGTCATTTCATGTTGAATTAATTAAACGTGTTTGATAATCATTTCATTTAGGTAGCCAAATATTGCTTCATCTCTTGAATGAAAATCATTCATTTTCCACGAAGATTGATATTTTAGATGGGTCGAACTTCATATCTTGGTGTCAATTTTCTTACGACAGGAAATTTTTGGAAAACATTTGCTTTCCGATAGTTCCTGTTATTGCACATCTTAAAACACCTGTCACTTTCTGTGGGTCTCAATGGAGAAATGGCTTGTATGGTTAATTTACCACAAGGCAAGACCCATATCATTCTATGGATTTGCCAAAATGACACATCTTACATTGACATCTTTTTCCTTTTTTCGACTTACGGTTTAAAAAGCTGTTTTTACGACTAACCGCTTTTTTTTTTTTTTTTCTGCCGTTTACGGCTAAAGTTTGACTCCATCGAGCTCTATCAAAGGGTGCACATTTTTGGCAAGTTGAGATGGTGATATTTGGAATCAAGTGCAGGTTACGCCGTGGTTTTGTAATCCGGCTGCATGAAACGTTTTTCCATTTTTATTTGTAGCATCTTCAGCAGCTTCTTTGGAGCTTAAGGTTATCGAAAGTCGTTTCAATTGTGACACAAAATAAAAGCTTGGTGTATATTATGATATTTTCCTTTTTAAATTTCATCGATCGTATTGCTTTGGTGTTTACCTTTTTTAATTTCTTTATTATAACAAACAAACACAAACACTTTATTTACCGAGGGTAAAATACATTATTACCGGTTACCCGGTAGTTTACATAATGGCCCTCAACAAAGAAAATTCATTATACTAAGAATTGGACTTAAAACGTCCTACCGATCTTAAAATGCTCTATCGAGGTATTTTCTTTAATAAATTTTTTCAGTAACGTTATCTTAAAATTTGAGGGGGAGGTTATGTTTCTAAAAGAGTTACCTACTAGTTTATTCCATAGCCTACATGCACGTGAGTGGAGAGTTGTAAGCCCTGAGTTTCTTTTACAAGATGGTGTTAGAACATCATTGCAAAAAGCAGATCTAGCACAATAACCATGTGTAGATCTGACATATTTAAAATATGGACTAAAATATTCAGGACAATGACCTTGGCTAACTTTATGTAGCATACAAATTTTCTAACGCGTACAATGTTATCAATAGATAACCAGCGTAATTTATTAAAAAGTTCAACGGAACTATCGTTGATCGTGGCGTCCAAAATTAATCTTCCGAATCGTTTTTGTACTTGTAACAACCTGTGGAGGTTTTCAAACGAGCAATTACCCCAAACAGTACAACAGTACTCAAGAATTGGCTTAATGAGAGCATTATATAACATTTTTCTACATTCAATAGTTAAATACACTTTTGCCCTCTTGAGGAGAAATATCCCAGAGGAACTATGTACATACTGCGCATGTCATGAGGTTCGCGTGGTCACGTCGCAGACGCCAGAACGCCACTTTTCAGGTTGAAGGTAGGACGCCACAAAAATATGCTGTTATTTTGTTTATAGGAGATGAATTATTGACTCAAAACCATAAAAAGCTCTTCTGCTTTTCATTAAGTGATTAAAAAACGTTTTCGTAGCGCGTAAAGTGGTTTTTGCTTAATTGATAGATTAAACGGGATTCGACAATGGCAGACAATCTTCTCGCCAAGTCTTGGTGAGTTAAGTCATTTGATTTCATGTCCATTTGAATCATCACGTGCAGAACTAAGATTTTTTTAAACGCC